GCCATAGAATCTTTAAATTTCCCAGCTAGAGAAAAGTGACACTCGGAAGGTAAGAGTCGAACTTTCTTAACCTTGAATAGACCATTCGGACAACAAAATCTTAGRGGTTTAAAATAGTTGAACTTTGCTTCGGACGTCTAGATCTGTTCCAACGGGTTTGGCTGGGAATAGCAAGAAAGCCGCTTTTAATGCCTTTTCCAAGGATTTGGATTTATAAACTTCGTTACCAGACCGACATTTTATTGGAAGAAACTGAAAAACACCAAATATCAGCGAACTTGATATTGAATCTAGGGTATTTTGAAGTTGTTTTTATCGGTAATGCCAATATAAACAATAAGTTATAAACAGAGGAGCTGCTTCTCATAAATAATAATTTTTGAAGCTGCTTCGATTTGGTGTTTATGGTTAAGCGTGTAATCTAGACGGCGCTACGTTTTTTCASTTCTATTTGGTCGAGAACGAAGAGATGAGACCAGCTTATGTGCTATCTACCGTTAGGTCTAATTTTCGTAGTAGATACCTCCAAATAGAGTGCAAACAATTAATCCTAGTTACTAAATAGTACAAAATAGTGCTAATTAAACAATAGAAAACAATGGCATTTGCATGAAATTGTGCTATTTAGTATTACTAAAGTTTCACGGTTATATTGTTTGCACTCTATGATAAAGTAAACTTATTAGATCCAAAAGACAGTCGATCAAATAAATTTCCAAAGGTAGAAAATGTAACCTCGGTTACMAAGTTAAATTCAATCTCCGTTAACGACTTTTTGTGAAACACCGAAATGTTTTTTACTTTTTATTTTTATCTTATTAAGAAATTAATGGGTTTTTTAATTAAGTATATTATAGCTTTTATAGATGAAGGTATATTTTATTTTATTTTTGGTAGCAAATTAATTATTCAGCTTTTTGGGCTGCGAGATAATTTTAAATAAACAGTCACAGTATCCCCTATCTACGTTATCAAAACCACGAAATATTGCCGGCTAATACTTTTAGGTTTAAAAATGATCAGTCTTTGGTTTCACAAGTAAAATCTAGAAGCATAAGACATATTTTTTGTATCAACCTCAGTAGCAGATAGCAGAATAATGTCGGGTCATAGCACTGGAAAACGTAGATAGCTTGTATGCGCGCCGCATTTCTAGCTTCAATGCTACTTACACATAAGTGACAGACTAAATGCGCATTTATTTATACACCTATTTCAAAACCAGCCTTATCCGACGACATTCTTAGCACTTCTGCTTTTGGTACTAGAGTACATCATGCTATGTGTGATATAACATACTGTGAGCAGTAAGAAACCTTTTTCCCCGATACTAGAAAGCGTTACCACTAGATTTTTCAATATTTTTCACATCAGAGACTGGCCCCAAATCCACTTGTTACTTAGTGCAATTTTCATAAACATGCAAACTCTGTGTCTCCGAGTTGACACTGAAATTTGGTTTTTCGCTGCCGTCAATCAAACCTAATAAGTCGGTACCTTTCATATTTTTGACCGGCGGCAGCGAAAAAAACAATTTTCATGTTTATAAAAATTGCATTAACCAAAGAATTGATGGCGATTGATGATAGGAGAAGAGTAAGAAGCTCGTAGTTTGAAAGCATATTTATTGATTTTGTTGGTTTCTATACAACGGTAACTGAGCATGTAAAAGGTATATATACCAAATTGTGATCTTCCAGCAAMAGACTTCTAAATCAGTCATATTTTTAGACGTTGCAGTTAAAATTTAAAATGAATTTTTATGCAATCAATTTGTTTCCAAACAGACGTGTGATTCTCGACTTCGGTTACCAAAATCGCGGAAATATCTCGATAAACGACACCATCTCGTTGCCTGAATTATTTTATTTTTATAATTCAGGTTAACGATAAACTATTGCTCTAGAAAAAACGAGCCTCCAGCAATAGTTTTATCGAGAAAGAAAGAAGCAGATCTATTCTTAATTGCTTTTCAAAATCAAATTTTTCATCATACATAAAAACATTACCATCAATAAAACAGTCAAACCGCGTTGTTCTATGTTTTATGACAATTTTTATTGGTTTTCATGTATAAGTAATGGATAATGGCGATGGGAAGAGTCATTTTTTTTAGTTTTATAAACCTCCGCTTCCTCCCTCAATATTTCCATTACTTAAACCACCACCTTTGTTGCATTTTGTACGAGAGATCGTGGTTCAAGCCTCGGCTAGGAGAAGGTACTGCCTTTGTAATTACATCAGCAAATGGCTAGACTTCATGCACGTGGCTCAGATGACAACGTTAAAATCAACTAGAGAAGTTAAAAGAGGACCACGAGTCGTATTGTTAGTTAAATGCATGATCACCAGTTACAATGTCTATTAACAAAGCTATTTTTTTAAACCTTTCCTCAGAGCTTATTTAGATGCCAATTTGTTTCACAATCTTCTTCTCTTACGCTTTATTTTGCGGTGTT